TCATCATCATCATCATCATCGTCATCATCATCATCAGGATCACCATTGGGTCCTCAACCAAAGCCTTTGGATCAAAAGCCTAACCGCAAGGCACCGGTGTTTGGCTAAAACTGCATATACATTACCATTTTTGCGGAAAACGTCGCCACACATTTTCCAACCCCCAACCTAGAGGACCAGGAGACTGTGTTGGTCAGACCTCTACCCATGGACCAACCTGGTATGAAAGACTCTGTGAGTGCTGCGCGGACATACTTCAGTATAGTTCAGTAGGTCTCCGAGGTACACAAATCAACACGCCACTGTAAGGTACAGCCTCTTCGTGACGGATTTTATACCAACCTTACGAGTCGATTTTTTCCAGGAAAATACTGCTTCGAATATCATTCTAGCTGAAACATGAGGTGACATTTGTGCAGCATAATTAATTAAAGAATATCACAAACGAAGGATTCAGCTGGAATTCGGTTGGGTCTCCCGTTAGAACCAAACTAGTTTGCAAATAGTTCGCCTTTCGCTTCCTCTCTGAGTTATGTTTAAACTTCATCCCTGAGAGCTTAGCCAGAGCTGTCTCCAATGGAGTGATGTGACGCTTGAATATGTCTGTTTTGCTCAGCTCCCAGTAAACAAACAGGAATCTGTGTATTTGTTATGTACTTCAACAGCCCACGACCGGTTTAATCCTTCTTGATGCTCATCAGGTAGGCACAGTCCCAGAGTTTCCGTCAACCTTGTGTTCTACTTGAAACCAAATTGCACGTCTATAATTGCCTCTTCCGGTTGATCTGTTCTTGATCTGCATTGTGTCGTGGTCGGCTTCTCTGTTGTTTGACTGGTTGGTGGTGTGCATCATACATTTAGTAGTTTTAGATCGATCTTGTCTATCAAACTCTTCGGACAAAGGAAATCCAGAATCATAAAACTCAGAGCGGAACAAGGATTCAAAGAATAAATCAGTAGAAATAAAGATTGCTACTTCGATTTAGAATAAGTACGCTCGTTTGCAACGATTTCGGATAATATATTGAGCACAGTGGCGAAAACGCAGGGAAAGCCTTGATTGATTGATGGAGGAAGGGTTAACTTTCCATCAAAATATCAAAAGTGCAGGTTTAACCCAAGGTACTGTCAATTGAAAGCGATTTAATAAGATCATATTTTGCTTGTAAAAGACCGACTGAAATAGATTTTGTAGTGGATGGATACATCAAACGTAGGTTCCGCTGTCAGTGGGCTGTCAATTGGGGGGAGGTTGGAAAAAGAGCTATGCATTGAAGGCAATAGCTTCGATGCACGAGCGCCATTGAGGGCGCGAATGGGCCATGTCTGACAATGTCTCTAGCCATTGATGTGGCCCGACTCGTGGTCCCCATCCAGGAAGACGGCAATGACCAGCGCAGCTGAGTTTGCTGGTAATGGCTTTCATACATGACTTCCAAGTCATTGTTTGACCGCCTCTGGCTTTCTTCCACCCTTCACATGGTTGTGCGAAAAGAGCCTTTCGAGGAAGTTGGTCGACTGGCATACGCAACACGTGGCCAAGCCAGGGCAAATTAGGCAGTGTGATCAGTTCATCTATCGAGGATGAGTTATTTCTCCCGAATACCATTCGACGTACTTCAGAATTGCTGATCCGGTGTTCCCACCAGATTCGGGCAATGCTCCGAAAACATCGATGGTCAAACACTGAAAGTATTTTGACGTCTTTGGAGCGCAGCGGCCAGGTTTTTGCTCCAGATAGTAATATGGATTGATGAGTATTTGTGTCACCGTGCCCATCATGAGCACCCAAAATGTTCTTTCTCTCTCCTGAAGGGGTCAACAACGTTGTCTTGGGAATCCCAGTATACGATCAGAATGAACCTGACGGACGATGCGCGGTTGATGGTCTGGTCATTACTTCCCAGTCACACGACGGAATCGCTTGGGACAGATAACTCTTCCGGTGACTGGATCCAAGTAGATCTTCTGCGAGAAACGCCTCAAGGTGAAATAATATCACTACGTCTTTATTTGGATGAACAGCGACTAATTAGGATGTGCCTCGCTGACCCGGATGATATTGGCGAACCAGCCCCACCGGAAACGAGTAGGTAAGGAACGCACTTTACTGTGTTTACAATGTGTAACCATCCTTGTAATTACGTTTTTTAATGTCCAGCTATTTCGACATCCTCTCTAAACGCAACGTGCTACTCATAATGTTGCTGAAAACTCTTTCCATAAAGGAAACTGCACACAAGGTTGCTGAAACCTCTGCGACAGCCCATGACCGGTTTCTCCCTTCTTGGGGCTTATCAGGTAGGCGCAGACCCGAGGTTCCGTCAACCTTATGTTCTACTTGATACCGAATGGCACGAAATTAGCGAATATACAGGCAGACA